GTCGAGAAAATGCCAGTATGTTCATCAAAAAGGTAAACATGTTTTTAAAAAAGTCCTTATTTCTTACCTTCAAAAGCTTAAAGATAACATCAATAATACCTCAAAAAAAAATAAAAATTGATGTATATTAATACAGGCTAATTTGACCTGACCTGGGTCAAATTTTAGAAGTTAAGAAATACGTACTTTTTTAAAAAAAAAGTTTAAGGGCGCTAAAGCCAGGGTTGTACTTCGCAAAAAGATACTTTTTGCAGAATAATTTAAAAATTAAAGAGCAGGAGTAATTCAACTAAATAAAAAAAGGAGCTCAAATCGACAATATAATGCAAACTTTGGAAAATCTCGTCATGTAAATACGAAGCATCGAAAACGCCTTCAATTGAGGCGTGATACCTTACGCGTTCCGGAGAGTTCAAATAGTTGTATCCCTGCGCCGTAGCAAGGCGATGGAAGCGAAATATTAAAGTAGCGTCCCAGCGTCGTTTATCGGTTTTCCTGTGCCGCAACTGTAGTTTCGAACGTTAAGGGCGCTAAAGCCAGGGTTGTATTTCGCAAATGGATAGTTTTTGCAGAATAGTTAAAAGTTAAGGAGCAGGAATAATTTAGGAACTCAAATCTACAATATAATGCAAACAAATTTGGAAAATCTCGTCATGTAAATACGAAGAATCGAAAACCCCTTCAATTGAGGCGTGATACCTCACGCGTTCCGGGGAGTTCAAATAGTTGTATCCCTGCGCCTTAGCAAGGCGATGGAAGTTTAATATTGAAGTAGCGTCCTCGCGTTGTTTTTCGGCTTTCCTGTACCGCATGGGGGCGGGGAGGCAATCGCCCCCTAACAATTTGCCGCGGAGGTCCCGAAGGGGCCCCCGTGGCGAATTTTTTCCTGTCATCGTCATCGTTTTTTCCGTAATGTTGTAATTTTCTTATCCTTTTCAATCACTAAAAGGCCCCGAATTCCTCGAAAATTTGTCTCTAAGAGACATGGATGGTCGCCAAAATTATTTGTGATGAAGGGACCCCCGATGAATCCTGAGAATGGGTTATTTAGAAGTTCAAGCACTGTAGAATCCAACACCAATAATATCTGCGTGTTTAAAAAGCGTGAAATTTTCAAGATTTACCGGGGGAGGGCCCCCGGACCTTCTTAGAGGGGCCCCCGAACGACAGGAGGGGCCCTTACATTTAGGTCTCTTCCTAACTTTTCGACCACCAGTCCGCCCCTGAACACAACAGAACTGTCGCAAAGATACCAATTTTTAGACGAGCGTTTGGTGCTTCAGAGGGCGTAAATTTATTTTTTCTTTCTCTTTTTCTTTTTTTCTTTTTTTTCTTCGACGATTATTATTGGTTGGAACACATCGATAAAGCATATATTTTGAGCAAATTAAAATTTTCTCAAATTTTAAAAATACCGAACAACCTAAACGCACGTTGATGACAGCACGGAGTATCCAAGCGCAGATCCGTGCTTAATGAATGTCCGTTCGGCATCTGCAAAATTGAAGGCGCGATGCTGTCAATGAGGTATTAATCAGATTCGGGAGAAAAGTTGAAGAACGAGGTCCGAAAACGTCTCTCCTCATTTCGGCCGTGTTGTTCACGTAGCCTTTGAAGCGCCATTACAAATAAAACCGACGAAAACAAACAACGAAAGAAAGCAAGGGAAAAGGCGCGCGTTGACGACGGCGCAGAGATACAACTATTCGTGCTTGATGGATGTCCGTGTTGCGTCTGCAAAATTGAAGGCGCGATGGCGCGAGGCGTGAATTTGTGATACACCATGCTCCGATTTGTTGCCGACGAGCTGAGGAGTATTAATCAGATTCGGGAGAAAAGTTAAACAACGAGGTCCGAAAACGTCTCTCCTCATTTCGGCCGTGTTGTTCACATAATTATGGAACGAATTGATGCGACATATGGCACGTCACTCCGACACCAAAAATGGCAACCGTTGAATCACCTTCAAAACCAAGAATTGCGCCGTGACCTCACTACACTCACTCATAGGTCGAAACTGTGATATTTACCTTAGATGTCTCCATAATGGATGGAAAGATTTATCACATTTGAGCGTTGTATGCAGCAAAAAACTTATTTCCATGAACCAGCCTGTTTTCTCCCGATTAAACCAGTGTAGTTTTTCCGGAATTTGAATCGATTACAGTGTTATCAAAAAAAATTATAGGTATGAAAATGCAATACAGCATTTTCGTAGACATTTCTGCACGGTCTTTACTTGGAAACCGATCGGACTAACGAACCCATGGGGGTTTGCTGAGTTCTGGAGATTGACGGGAGAGGACGACAGTGACGTGATTCCAGCACGCAATACGCAATTCGACGGTAAAACTTACAAACCACTAATCTCGGTTTGCGACTTTGCAAACTTCCCGTCATCTTTTTTTTTTACTACTCAACGGTAATTTTTGGAAACTGTCGTGGTTTTTCCTCTCCTGTGCGAGGTCAATTCTGTGGAAACGTCAAAAAGTCATGTTGACTTCGTCTCCTTCAAAAAAATACCTAAAATGGGAGCTGAGAATTTGAAACACCGAAAGCGAGATAGTTTGGGAGTTCTACCCTCGAAGTGCGATAGCACAATGTATTTGTTTTTAAAGGATTTCTCTGAAATGAAAATTCATGAATCCTTCACAATACCATTTGTGCCAAACATGCCGCATGAAGTCGCAGATGAGAGAATATGCATTTCGTGTGATTTACTTTATTCTCTTTTTGTAATTAGGTGTGTTCACTCAGCTACCAGCAAACTTTTTATGTTGATTAATTACGAATTTCCACTCGCATATTTACGTCACACTCTCAAACTCGTAAAAAGTACTTTTTTTAGGTTTATCGAGGTAGGCAGGGGGTCTTCTAGAAAAAATTTGTTAGGTCGGATGGCCAAAAGAAGGACCGCGGCCGAGTCTTCCAATCTTTGAATTTATTTATTTTAAAATAATATAAATCGATTCACAAATAAAAATTCAAAGGAAAATATGATTTAAAAGCTAAATTTCAATAAAAATAATTTTAATACGGGAAAATAATTTAACGCGACGTGCGTAAAACCTGTGGCCATTGCTCTGAGTCGAGGGACCATCCGTTTCAATTTGTGTCTATATCCATGGTGACATGAGCCCTGTCATGCGTGTGCTCTTATGGATCTCAAGGCTCATGTCTAAATGGATATAATTCCTTTTGATTTAAATAAGTCCAATACTCCTTCAGTTCCGCCGTAAGCAACATTCTCACAGAGGAGCGCGAATAATTATCTACTTGTAAAATGCATAAATCTCACTCTATAAGCTTTGATCGAACCAATAGGAAACGTTTGAACCTATTAACAGATATCGTGCACTTGAGCTTCGCCTTCAAATCGCCTTATAGGCAAAATACCGTCGAGCTCGAATAGTTTGTCATTAATCCAAAATACATATTCGTGATTTACGACGCAAGATCTGTGCTCTTCTCATGGTCGTGCAGATGCGGATCCAGCAATTTGGCAACACCGGATTTTCTCGATTTTAACCTATGTTAAATAATCGATTTTTGTCGGAGCACGTGGCCTCTACAAGAATTGATACATTTCCATGGGGTTAGATGGGGAAAAAAACGATGTTGCCAATTTGCTGCATCAGCTAATGTGGTCATAGAACACAACTGTGTAATATGGCCAAAGTGCACGGAGAAAAAAACTGAAGTACTTCAGATGTAATAACTGAAGTTTCAGATGTGTGATCCGAACCTTGGCAGCCAGACCAAAAGTGCTCAGATACTCAATCCGAAAATTTCAGAGATCCATATGACCTAAACTTCGAGTCCCACGTAGGAGATTTTTTTCTCCGTGTGCAACACCACGCACCTATCTCTATTGCGGGGTTTCAAAATCTCTGCTCTTAGTTTTTTTTTTTTTTTTTTTTTTTTTTTTTTCGAAGGGGACTGAGTGAAATGTATTGCCTAAAACTTACACAGAAAGTTCTACTAACAGAAAAGACATATCAAGGAGGTTTTCAATAAATTACGTCGATAGTTTTTCAAGGAAAAAATAAAGTATCTGACTGGAAGTCTAATGATGTCGTATACCTACGTAGGCACGTGGTCTCGCACTCTGTATATAGCTATCGAAATAACTAAAGCAAACCATTACTCGGCGCCATAAGCTCTCGTTGAACAAAGTCGCATGCTTTTCATTCCTCTCGCAACCGCTGAGAGAATTTCACCTCGATGATGAATTTTTGCGATTTAGGAGAGAAATTCAACTATTAAACTATAATTTAAAATGTTTCATTCGTGCTTGAGTACAAATTGAGCTGCATGCTAAACTTAGGAACATGAATCATCCTCTATCTTCCCCCTCCCAGATAAATATTTCGTTCAAATTGAATTTTAAATGGCAAGCTGCGTTTTTAAATCTGTTTCATGCTACATTCCAGTTAATGAAATTTTATGTCTTGTTAAAGGTTAAACGAGCATGTCTACGTTTCGAAAGTGCGTAAGTTCAGTCGATAATTTTAACTTCGTTTTCATTTAGTCACGTAATCGTCTCTATGAAGAAGTATATCGACGGCGTAGGTAAGTCCGCAATCACATATCGCGTTTGCAGTGTCTGAAAATCTCCGCCTCTATGTTCATTTGCGGATCCAGCAAATTGGCAACATTGTTTTTCCCCATTTAAACCATGGAAATGTATCGATTCTTGGAATGGCCGGGTGCTCCAACAAGTATCGATTATTTGATATAGATTTAAATGGAGGGAATCCTGTGTTGCCGAATTGCTGGATCCGCCTCTGTGTATGTTATTTATTTAAAGGAGAACAGATTGACCAGGGCCGGATCTACCTACTTGCCGCCCATGGGCCGCCTGTATTTTGCCGCTCCTTTTCATTGGTTTTGAAATAATATCGATACAAACCATCAGTGAACGTGCCGGAGGAGGAGGGGTGCATGAGACGCGTTCACTCTTGTTGGGCACATTTTTTATGAAAGCCCAGTCAACACAAGCAATAGTTCACGGAACTTTGCGCAAAAATTAAGTCCGTAAACCTATCTCTTTGTGGACGAGGCCTTTCTTTTATAAGAAAAGAACGAAAAAAATATGAAAGAATAAACATGAATGTGGTTTAATGATTTTTATTTCCGCCACCGCACTGTGTTTGGCGCAATGCGTGAAGTATCCCTACAGTCTTGTAGGCGCTATGCGTTTCACGCCGACCGCTTCTGACAGCACTGTTTTTGACGCAATATATATATAAAGTCGCTTTATAACGCACTCTGGCGTTCTACGACACCCAAACGCCACATATGCCTGTTTTCCCAGAGGTTTTCGGGCAACTGACACCGCAACATCTCTTCGTCAACGCCCTGCCGCCAACCCTTTACGGGACGTCCCCGTCGCCTCTTCCCAGGTGGTACCCAATCCAAAACTTGTTTAAGCAACCTCTCCTCCGACATTCTTTGCACATGTCCATACCAGCATAACTGCCTGGACATGACGTCGTGCACGATATCTTTCTCAACCTTCATCACCTGGCGAATTCTCTCATTACGGACACGGTCCCGTCTCGAAATGCCGGCAGATCGCCGCCAAAAATCCATTTCAGTTGCCCTCAACATTTCTTGCGTTCTTTTCGCGTTTTTTGACGCAATGCGTGAAGTATTCATGCAGTCTTGTAGGCGCTAAAATGTGATCCATGTTGACCAGTGCGCCGGGGGCTTCTCCTTTCCATCTCAAGTCCTCGTCATCATCGCTCTCTGCGCCGCGCCGCTCCAGGCCAAATTGCTTGTTTGGTTTCTCTCTCACTAGAATAATGAAAGGCGCTGTCTCTTGTATCACCGAAAGACGAACAAATTATAGATTACTATACTTTAACTCTCAGAAAATGAGATATTTTTTCGCCTTTCCTCGTTTGTAATTTTTTTTCTGAATCAGATTTTTTTTTTTTTTTTTTTGATACCTAAGTACATTTGAACTAATTACAACATTTGCCGCCCCCTAAATTCGGCCCTGATATTGATATCATTCTTTGAAGTTTTTGCAGAATTTTCTTTCCACCGAGAAGGAGGATCATGGCAGTTTTAAAGAATTGCCGCCGAGTAGTTTTCCCTTTAAAAAATAAAGTATGACAGGAAGTCTGTGACGTCGCAAACCGAGTTATGTGACTGCCGACTTACACCGTCGATATACAATTAATAGTATTTCAGAGATATTGAGGTGATAATAATTTGTTTTTAATCAAATGCGGCATTTAAATGCAAAAAAATTAACCTCTGCCAGATGAGAACGAGATAAATTGTAAATTTTATACTATATAGGTAATCGTCTACTTCATTCATAGTAAACGCTAGAACAGAAAGTATCGAATATACGAGTACTAAGAAGATTATACGAGAGCACATACATTTTTAAAAATTTTCCGGAGTCAAACCCTAGATTTCCTCTGAGCTTTTGGTTGAACTTATCTATGGGGACGACTGGGCGTCTTAAATTCGGCCCGAGGGAAACAAATTCGTAAATCCAGCACTGACCGGACCAGCGGCGTGGCGTGTCTTACGATACATCGATTGATCTGCCACTTAAACCTAAGGAAAAGGATCTACATATGTGCAGTGTGTTCGCAATGAACACCTCAATAATCGATTCTTTACCATAGCTTCAAATGGGGAAATATTGATAACCGATAATTCACGCCACGCCACTGGACCGGTCCTCGCCGAGTCTCAACCTGAGTCACTTGGGCTACATTTTGCAATTGGGAGCTACTTTTTTTGCCTCATCTTAAAAACAACACAAAGTGCCATTGGTTTCTAGATTCAGATAAGTGAATTCAAGGATGACTTAGAAATAGTAGTTCCTTATTCCAAAAAGCAATCTGATTAATCACCCTTATAGCGACTACACGGGCTTAAAATTTCATACTTTCTTAAATATGATGTATTCGCCATAATACCAGCAAATTCGCCTTTGAAAGAGATGAAAGAGAAAATATTTGACTAACGGAAGAATAAAACTTCAGTACTAAATACATGAACGAAATACACATCTAGTCAACCCCATGCATGCATGCTTCAAACCCACGCTGCAGGAGATTCATAGAGAAAAGGATCACCTCGGATATTTCAAAGACGAGGGAGGGTGGGATCTCAAAATCGGGGAAGGGGGGTTAGCTCAATTTTTTTTTTAAAGATAACAGCCCTCATAACGTAACACATTGACGGTGTAAGTCGGCAATCACATAACTCGGTTTGCAACGTCACAGACTTCCTGTTATACTTTATTTTTTAAACGGAAAACTACTCAACGGCAATTCTTTAAAACTGCGGTGATTTTTCTTCCTGTGTGAGGAAAATTCTGAAAAAATTTCAAGGAATGATGTCTATTTGTTCTCCTTTAAAAAGATGACATAGAGGCGGAGATTTTCGGACACCGCAAACGAGTTATGTGATTGCCGACTTACACCGTCGATATACCAATTACAACAAAATAAAATAAAATTTTATTGCATGGTACTACATTCGAGTTGGTGCCAAATTTTACCACTGGTTAAATAAATCGTCACAAAATGTGATTGAAAGTTTGCATGCCTACGTGCGTTGCATCATTACTGAGCCACTACCTTACGCATTTTTTTTTGTCTGTTCTGTGTGAACTTGCTGTCATAGGGTTACCAAAGTGCGCAGAGGCATAGAGGCACATTTCACGCATTACGTGGAAAGAGCCGCATCTACGTGCGCGACATTCATCAGTTTCAGTCCGGAAAAGCAAGACGAGCGAGAATATTATTTGCAATTCTTATTTTGAAGAGATGTTGCATTCAAAGTTTCAGGGATACGATCATATTGTTTTAGGAATTATTTGATTGAGTGATTGAATTATTTCAGCCAAAAATGCGGCCCACTATGCTTTTGTTATGCGTGTTTACGGTCGTAACTCTGTTTTCCTATTCCCATTGTGCAGTTAGAGTCTGTAAAAGTTGCGATCGAAAGGTGGTAAGTGTTAATTGAAACATTTAGCGTAGACATGTTCCGAGGTTCTTACTTTATATTGTTCATTAGCTTCAACGACAAATAGTGGCAGTACCTAATTAAAGATTACCTAAAAAAACCCATGAAGCTTGCATCGTGAAGTTTAACTATGTTACTTAGATTTAATACTTAAATACTTATACTTTACTTATAGGTACTTACACTTCAATACAAAAAATTCGCAAGTTTACAATATTATAAACATTCGTATAAAATGTCTAATGTACAACTTATATAAGGATTATAAAATAGTACCATTAAATTTTAAAATGAAATGCAAACATTAAGTGTATTGCTTTTAAAATCTTAATTGAACATCACGTAAACTTACACAATTTACAGATTGTGGACCACATTGAAAGTGGTTCCACGTGTTTCCTTTTGAAATTTTATTTCAGAAGCACCCCTTACAATTTGAAATGTGACGAGTTAAACATCAACTTTTGCAGTTTTGGTTAAAAATTTCATGTACGACCTCTCTCATTGACTCGATACACTGTGTGACACTGTGACACAGTGGATCGAGTCAATTTCAGAGGTCGGACATGGAATTTTTGACTAAAATTTTGATGTTTATTTCGTCACATTTTAAATTTCAAGGGGTGTTTCTAGAAGAAAATTTCACGAGAAAACCAATAAAACCACTGTTAGAACCTCAAAATTTTATATAAACGGAGTTATAGGCTTTTGAAGTTTCCAAATTTTGTCCGATCTCCCCTATTGACTCGATCCACCGTGTGTGTGTCGCAATCAAGCCCCGATTTTTGCAGTCTCACCGAGTATGTAAAAATGTCTTCATGGTGTGAGTGAACTTCAAAGAGTTGAAGTATACAGTACCAGCCGTTATATTTCTAAGTTTACCGTGCCCAAACATCGAGGAAATTTCCGTCATCAGAGTGTGCACCAAGTCTCGTGGATTTGTTTTTAGCCTAGTGCGTGTCATGCTGTCGTTTTAGTTTTTATCGATTTGATCTCGTTTCAGCATTTCATTACCAAGCTGAAGTAAAAAAATTCTCTGATGTCGGATTCACGCAAAAAATCGCATTGTGTCTCCCTTCGCTGCGGTTGTAATTTTCCAGATGATCTGCACCGGAATGTCATACGTTTGGATCACTGAGTTACTCGTCAAGGTAACTATTCTACATGGAGGCATAGATGAAGGTCAAGTACCTGTGCTGCACGCACAGGGTAGTACAGGTACTTGGGGGTAGCAAAGCTACCCTGGCGAATGATTCAGTAACCTAGACGTGTAACATTCCGGAGCAGGTCATCTAGAAAATGACAACCGCGGAGATAGGAGACGCACTGCGCTTTTATAGCGTGATTGCGACATTGCAAATTTCCTTTTCTGTTTCATTTTATTAATGAAATCTAGCCAGCAGTTTCTGTTGAAATTTTTCTAAGAATTTCATTCTGCATTGAATATTCTCAAAAAATGTTAAGGCTGAGAAGCTGCCAACGTTTTCCTAAATGAGATGCATTTAACTCTCTCTTCGATTTCACAGAGAAAAAAGGATCGTTGCTATAAGAATGCTCATGATGGATTCCAGGCTCTACCCACTTCCCACTTTTCTAGTCATAGTTTCAACAGTTAATTTTGCGGTACCTACCAAATAATTCGGTTTTGATAACAATCCTGCACTACAACCGAAATCGAAAACATTACAATAGTAATTTGTTACAATAGTAATGGTATAAACATCATAACTATGACCGAAAAAGTAAGCGGGGAATGAAACCCACCGCATGCATTGTTAGAAAAATAATTTTATTCCCCTCCGTGACTCCATTTTTTTTTTGGTGTCTAGGTCCATTTTCCAGCGACCGGGAACATTAATGCATGATTAAATGGTGTTATTAAATTATACTTTTTACTAAATAATTTAAAAATTACTGTCCGTCCCCTCTTTGTCTCTCTTGTATGTTCTCATGACATGAAATAACGACTGTATGATTATCATGTTTAATACGACCAATCTTTCCTTACAGCCTCCCCAGCCTGAGGATGAGGACCTTTATCATTTGGAACATGCAGACCCTTGTCATGATGTTGAGCTAATATCACAGGGAACGAGGGATGATCGTCAGAGAATGGTGAATAATGCAGCGCATGAAAAATGTTGCACTCTCGTAGAGCTGTACAAAAAGTCTAAAATGTATGATGAGAAGAAGTCTGCATGCCCAGGCGCTGTGTGCAGCGGTTGCATTCAGTACCCAAATTTATTTGGGGATATGAGGTTCAAATGTAGGATTGAATGGTACAGTTCTACCGGATGGTTCAAAGCCTTGCCTAACCAAAATACTTTGGCTTGTTGCGTTGCGGACGATGTTGCCAGGTATGAAAAAATACATAGGACGTACGGCGCCGCCTACCCTGTTTCGGCGACACCGAGAGCGAACCCGAAAATTCAGCGCCCCTCTACCTCCACCTCAACCTCCACCTATGCTCCGGTCTTTGCCCCTGCCCCTGCCCCCGCCTCCGGGAAGGGAACATCGAGATTGACGAAGGAACGAAGACATTCTCAAAGTCCTCCGAAGACTGAGCGTGGTCGCACGATTACCCGAAAATCCAGTGATAGCTCCTGGTTTGCCGGAAACAAGAAAAGTTCTGGAAGAAGTAAGAGCCACAGTCCGTCCTCGCTAAGTCGACCTCTTTTAGATTGCAACTTTGATTAGTCCGTAATACCAAATGTTTATAAATTACTACCATAACAATTACTATCATAATAATAGTTATATTTTCATAATTAAGCACCTCTATAAAGGGAATTTTAATACAAGGGGGGAAACAAATAATATATTGTAAATAAATTAAATATGTAGGTTTCACTTAGCATGTAACACAGGCCTTCGGGCTGTGGCCTGTCTACCACAGTTCCTCCTTGTAAATAAACACAATAAAAATATCTTGATATTAAAAAAAAAAAAAAAATAGTTATATTTTCAAGATCACTATATATAGAATTTTTATATTTTATAATGCAACTCACGGAATATTTGAAAAATCAATTATTAGGATTAGAAATTTCAATTCAAAAAACATAAATACTTCCGTTATGCACATCATCCCCATGATTTTAATTTCGATTACTCCAGATGATCCCCATTATTTTAATTTATGTATAGTAATGTAAAAATTGAAAAGACGAAACCAGAGACAAGAGACCCTCCACTGGCCGCACGGGTGGATATCTTTTACTTTCGGGGACTCAACAATTCCTTACGGACAATTATGTATAAGGGAGCAACAGTCACCACTCTTATTTCGGCTGTTGACCCACCTACATGGTGGATGATGCTTTGGGTGACGTCATGAGACAAACAAGTTCCCTAAACTTCGGCTTGTTTGCGAAACGAAGCTGCCAACACGTTCTTAACCGTCAACCATGTGGGTATTGTTGGTAGGTCAACAATAAAACGACGAAGTCCCGAAAGTAAAAACTTCCACTTCGCCACGACTAATTGTCAAGATACTGGTGGAGAGTCTCTTGTCTCTGGACGGAAGAAACCCTCCGCTTTGAGAAAAATCACGCTGAATTTTGTCTGAAGAAAAGCTGCGGACATTTAGTTTTAAATGACTTTGTTGCAATTCCGCGTGCAGTGATAAAATTAATAATGGATTACCTAGTCGTGATCGTCAACTATTTTAAGATTACATTTCACTGTATTTTAGGTAATAGATAACTACATACATTTGAAATGTAAAACATTGCCATGACATACTTGTAACTTTTTTTAAGTTTATCAGCACCTTTATAGAGACATGTACATTATGATGTGGACCAATGATTTCATTAATGTTGAGATATCCTTCTAAACCTATAATCAGCGAGATTCTTTTTGGCCTTGTAATTCATAGTATTATGGAGATCATAAAAGTTACTAAAATTTATGAAAACATAATTTTTTTCTTTTCAATATAAAATTGAAAATATGAACCAGACTGCGTAACGAACTAGTTAACTAACTAGTGATGATTAGTGTTACTTTTATAGTGAATAGTGTGGATTTTTCATCTAAGATTAGAGATGCATTTATACCAATTTATTCTATTTATTGATAATATTTTCCACTCAATCATGATAGTGATATTCTTTTTTATCGTAACGATTACCTATTATTCTAAGCAATTAATTTATTGATTATTACTATCAACAGACTATTGTCAACTGGAATGATTTCGTTGATGATGCCCCATCAATGCATGAGATAGGGTGTGTGTGTGTAAGTGGAGATGTGTGCGCGATCGTATTTTTTTCTTTTTTTTAATTCCTTTTTTATTTAATCAATTGAAAAGTATGACCTCTTCAAACAAATTCCATTCATTTTTGTCATTTTACTATCCAGTCTCGTCAAGAAGACGTTTTGGGCTTATGATAAAGGCTTATTTTAAATATTCCCTTGTACTACTTACTACTACTTTTTGTACAGCTCTACGAGAGTGCAACATTTTTCATGCGCTGCATTATTCACCATTCTCTGACGATCATCCCTCGTTCCCTGTGATATTAGCTCAACATCATGACAAGGGTCTGCATGTTCCAAATGATAAAGGTCCTCATCCTCAGGAACTATAATAAAAACCTAGAACTTTCCGCCCAATGAATAGCGGCATTTTCATTATGTAGTAAAATAATTCGAGTTTTCTCATGGGACGGTCCCAAAATGCATTCCGAGGATGACCTAATTGGTCATAAACCAACCGCTCGCCGATATTATTATATTAAACGCAAAATAATTTTATTTCATTACAAAGAGATCATATAGCTTTGGACAGGGATTCATAAGTAGTCAGTTTTAGCATCATCTTCTAGGCGGTCAGAGCTGATTTGAAATATGTGTTTCCAACACACACTCACACACACCCTCATTATAAACACATTTTATTACACACGGCAACAAGATTAAGTATTATGAAGCACACAAACAGGGAGTTCACTAAGATTATGGAAATTGCAGCAACCCCCCCTCCCCAAAAAAAATAAAATAAAAAAATAAATAAATAAATAAATAAATACGGCCGTCATATTTGCGAGCAAATGGGAAACATAGACAAAAAATACGGACTTATTAAAAAATTCATAAACGAACGATGATTACCGTCACCAGTAGTACATGAAACAATGTTCTAATCAAAATAGTAGCGAAACATCCTGATTGTGCGTTCTGCTTAACGATGTGTCTCATTAACGCTCAAAAAAAGAAACAAATATCAACAAATGGACTGCATTTTGCAATTTGGAACTATGAATTCTGGCTCGTCGGAAAAAAACACTTGTGTCCATAGGGAAACTAATGGCACATACGTTGTTTTTAAACCGGGCCAGAATTTATAGTTCCAAATTGCAAAATGCGGTCCAAATATAAGCATGCACGTACACTTTGTCCACCTTGATTTTCGCTTTAAGTCTTACCAGCGAGCGACTCTTCACCTCATTTAGCACTTAAAAGGTATTTGCGTGCGCCAAATAATGAAAATTTCCGACTCTGCTTGGAAATTTCCAAGGGTTTCTATTTATACATTAATGCATATTTGCTGGTCCCGCATTTTCCAACGACCACGCAAAAGAATGAGAGTAGTGCAGCCAGAGTTACCTGTTTTATCAGGTTTTATCTGGATAGAAACTATAAAAGAAGAAGCGTTCTTTTCACTTTTCGTTTCGAAGTCTGGTTAGAAAAGTTGTGGGGACGAACTCGAATTTTTTTTCAGTTTTGGAAAATTTCGTTGTGGGATCGATTCATTGCAACCAGAAATGCGACTCAAGGAGCTCTTGTTCAGTGTGATACTAGTCATGTCACTATTTTCACATTCTGATTGTTTAACCAGTGGTAGTGCGACCCGAATTTGCAAAAATTGCGAACGAGATCCGGTAAGTGAAGTGCAAAACGTCTAAAGCAACAAGTAACAAATTTTCGCTGATTATTACATTTAATGGCTACAATAAAATGTTATTGCCGCATTTGGATTGATGAATGGCAGTTCGGTGGTGAAATTGCAGAAATGCGGATTTATGGTTTGCAGTGTTGCAGACTTCCTGTCATACTCCATTTTCTACAAAAAAACCACTAAAAGGAGTTTTTTTTTTTTTTTAAAACAATTTGCGGTGATTTTTCTTCTCTGCGTGAAAAACATCCTGCTAAAATTTCGAGCCTGAAGTTGAGTCGGCCTCCTTTAAAATGGCAATAAAGAAGCGGAGATTCTGAAAACACCAAATCAAGATACGCATTTTTGCAATTTCAACAATTTTCAACAAGGAATACATATTGTTGGCTGATTCTAGGAAGAATGTGTGAGCCATAAGTTGCACTATTTAGGTAAGTGCTTCTATGGATACGCCAGACATTATAAAGTTTCTTACTGCAAAATGCAATCTAGTTGGACGTCACTTATTGTTAGCGCAGAGCAGATAAATCCGCAAAGGTAAGACTGAAAAATACATCCATTCCGGAGCATTATTATACAGTTTTGGGTTTAGAAAAAGAGAAAAAAAGAAAGAAAAAAAATTGTCCCTGCTGATAGGACCACTCTTTTCAATAAACTACAATTTTTGTCCTCTAATTAAATAAGACTAGGGGCTTATGGGGCTGCTTTGCAGCCCCTCATTTTTCCTGTACACTTTTCACTTTCACATTTTTTTTTTCTATTTATTTTCATTTAATTTTCTGTTTTGTCTTTGAATCGGGTCTAATTATTTCTTTGAGAGAATAAATATAACAACGCATAACGCCCCTTAACGCATCCGGAATGCAGCTGCATTCCGGATGCAGACTGAGAAACTGAAAAAAGTACGTTACGTAACGGTAAATATTAAATAAACTTACCTATATATGGATCCTTGAACTTTAAAGCAATAAGGTCCACCACCCGGAATATCAATTCGATTTGCAGAGAAAGCGGCAAAAGCAACAGCACTATTATAATTTCTGATATGCTTTATGAAATTTGGAGAATATAAAAATAATGATTTCAAATCGGTATTTGTCCGAATACTCGGTAAAGAAATTAAGCCATTTTGGCAGCAGTTATTAAAATGACCATTGGACATTTCACCCTGAAAATGGCGAGCATCACAATGATGACAAATTATATTCATTGAACCGACTGAAAATTTGGTAACAAAATTTTCATCAAAG